TCCATGCCAAGTGGAAAAGGCTGAAGGCAATCAGATTAAATGCCTCTTGAGGGCAGGAACCCTGTCTGATACTTTTGTATTTATTTCCCTTTCCCCTAGCACAGTGTCAATGAATACCTGATGACTAAGATAGTCCCCTCACAGCAACTCTTAATCCCGTGTGTCTGTGTGACAATACTTGTTTATAGAGATATATGTGTTTACACACTTAGACATACTAGCTGAGGAACAGTATGAGGTCATACAAGTTCTTCCTGGTTACTGTCATATACTGACTGGCTGTGACCTAGGCTAAGTCCCTTAACCTTTTCATGCTCCAGGGAACCAAGATTATCAATAGGGATTATCAATCCCCTAACCCAGGAGTTCCATATGCCAATGAAAATCTCTTTTTACTCTCAAACTCCCCCTTGCACTGGAATGAGGAGAATGGCTAGATTTCTTAGACTCTTATCTAATCACAGCCCCCTTTCTCCAATCCATTACCTCTCTGCTGAACCTTGTCTGGTTCTAGGGTCTTTTTGGATAAAGTCTCAGACTCATAATCTGAGTGTCATCTTTGACCCACTCTCACCCATTCCATTGCCAGATCTTATTATTTCTACCTTCACAGCTCTGAAACATCTTTATTACCCTTTTCACCTGGACCATTGCAATGGGTCTCCTTACCATGAGCCTCTCCACCCTCCAATCCAACCTTGGGAGACCAAGCTGCCAAGGTGGTTTTTCTAATGCATAGATATATATAGAGATATATATCCCTCCCCTACTCATTGGGTTCCAGTGGCTCCCTATTACTTCCAGGATCAAATATAAAATTTTTTGTCATTTAAATCTTTTTGTAACCTGGCCCCTTCCTGGTTTCTTAACACTTTGCTACCCCATATGTACTCTCACACGACACTTCATCTCTACCTCCATTCCTTTGCAATGCTGAATGTCCTCCGTGACCAGGGAATGTTCTATTCCCTTGCATCTGCGTCTTAGTGTCTCTGCCTTCCTTCCTGTTGTTGTTGTTCAGTTTCTGATTCCATTTTGGGGTTTGCTTGGTTACTGGAGTGGTTTGCCATTTCCTTCTCCAGCTCATTTTACAGACAAGGAAACTGAGGCAAACAGGGTTAAGTGACTTACCCAGGGTCACACAGCTGGTAAGTGTCTGAGGCTGCTTTTGAACTCAAGTCTTCCTGCCTCCAGGCCTGGTGCTCTATCCACTGCACCACCTAGCTGCCCCCATATATAAATCTCGTGTGTTCCTATATGTTGTACTTGTGTCCTCTATTAGAATGTAAGCTTTTAGAATGTTGTCTCCTCTATTAGAATGTAAGCTTTTAGAATGTTGTCTCCTCTATTGGAATGTAAGCTTTTTGAGGACAGGGATTAGCTGTTTGTTTTTTTCCCTTTTCTTTTATCTCTAGGGCTTAGTTCAGTACAAGATGCATTGTAATCACCTAATAAATGCTTGTTGATTGACCGACAGAGAAAAGAGGAAGAAAGAGGAGGAAACAATTTCCCTGCCCTGTAGTTAGGACAAGCTTGGAAGCAAAACCTATTCCCAACCTCCCACCTTCACATGGCCAGATTGTTAGGCCCTGTTTGCTTCCATGACATAAATAGCTCCCGCTGCACCACCAACTGCCCAGTCCAGCCCACCCACCTGGATAGTCTCTCCACGCCAGCTGCAGGGAGTGATACCCTTTCACAGGAAAAAAGACTAGATGGATGTCCTAAGGCTGTCAGAGCCTCACAAGCAGGAAGCACCCCTTTCAAACATCTCCGGATTCCATCAAGAGTCAAGGACAGCACTTGCCTGGGAAGAGCTGAGTAGTCCAGGGTCCCTATGTCCTGTCCTGACTCTGTATCGCTACACACATTCCCTCTTAACCTCTTCAGCCACAGGAATATTTCTATTCTCAAACCTCAGGCAAAGCCCTGAGGGAGTCCTGAGCTGCACCCACAACTCCAGTCACAAGGAACTGGAAGAGGGAGGGAATCAGGCCTCTTGAGACCAGGGCAGCATACTAGCCTAGTCACTATCTTGCTTTAAGAGCTGACAAGACAGTAACAGGCAGAGGAGATCTGCAGCATTGAGAGGGGGCAGAGAGAGAAGAAAGGGGAAAGAAGATGCCAAACATACGGTAGACAGAGCCTCTTTTTGAGCTTGGCTGGGCAAAGATAGTAGCACAGGCCTGAGGGAGAGTCAGAACTTCAGGTATGCAAAGAGACGGTCTATCCAAGGTCACAGCATTCCTGAAAGCCACCAGCAGATCCTCCATTCAACTTGGGCTCAGGAGACATCAAACTCCTTTGGTTTGAGGGGCAAAAAGATTCAGAGAGCTTCTATTCGTTCTATCTCTGACTTGGAGGTAGAGTCTCTAGATGTCTTTAGCTCTTGAAGGAGGTTAAGGGGAATACTCTTCCAGAATGGTGGGAAGTACAGGGTGGTTGGAGTCTGGGTATATAGGGACTTCTTTACACCTACTTTTATTAAGTACCAAACAACAATAAAACAGAAACAAAAACAAAAGACCCAGGTCCTAACCTCTGGATCTCGGTGTTAGTTGATGAAAATAAATGTCCCTGGTCCATCTCCTCACACCTAAGAAAGAGAAATGATCCAAATGGGACTTTTGGGAGCTCTTTAGGTAGCTGCGGTAGAGGGGGAAGAACTCAGGAGCCAAAATACCTGGGGGTGTGTTCAGTTCTGCTGTTTCGTAGCTGTGAGGCCTTGGGCAGATCACCTAACTACTCTAAACCTCATTCCACACCTATAAAATCAGGATAATAATAGTTGTACTGCTTATCTCATGAAAATTAAATGAGATAATGAATGTAAACTTCTTCGCAAATTAAGTAGGGTCATATAAGCACCATTACTGTTATTATCCTGCCAAATCTTATTCCTATCCCTTGTACCCCAAAATTGACATGGGAATTGAATTGGATTTTTCTCAGCTAAAAGGTCTGAACCATTTATAAGGACACAGAGAACAATGCAACACATAGTAGAAGTGGGTGAAGGAATTCCCTGCTCCATTTTATATTCCTGCCTCATTGCCCCAGCCTCCCCCCAAGACCAAGGCTACAAGAAGAAATCCTCAGAGAAAGGGTTGTGTCTACTCCCCTACCAGGAACAGGACTGAACCCCTGCCCCTGAGGTGGGCCTAGCAATGCCATAGACTAGGCAGTACTATCGGACTGTTACAATCATCTGCAGGAGGGAGGAAATTCAGAGGCCAGAAACAGGGCATGTGTTAGAAGCAAAGGGTTTGGGTGTGGGGAGAAAGGAGTAGGAGCTATTTTGTGAATGAAATGGTCCAGATGATGGCCAAAACAGGGCTCACTTTCCTCCTCCCAGCATTTGAAACCATTCTCCTCTACCCCCTGGAAGGACCTGCACCCTTCATATACCATCTAACCACTGCAAACCTTGGGAAATCAGACAAAGACTCTTGGTGATTCTGGAGAATAGTCTCCTAGAAAAGCCCTCCCTCACCCCAGGCCTTCTGGTTCCAAGAGTTTATGGTTAGGAAATGTAGCTATGCCCCATAGTGGGAACTAAGAGGGAAAAAAAAGCTTTCTATTCAAACCTTGAGAAATCTTTCTTATCTAGAAACTAACCAGCATACTTATTTCCTCTGAAATCATCAACACCAGGGATGTGATGGATTCAGACAGCAACTTTGCTCTCAATTCAAATAATAAAACACATTTCCTCCTGCTGAAGTGAAAGGAGAAAGCTTCAGAGAGGATCCTGAACCAGGGAGGGATAACCAGGGGGGAGAAATGAGCTGTGGGGAACTGAAATGAACACTGGGACAATCCAGGCTGAATCTTTGCAGTTAACTTTCTGACTGGGAGGGGCCAGGCTGGAATTGTTTGCAAGAGATGGGCTCTCAACTAGGGGCTGAGGATGCTGTTTAGAGTACCGGATTGTCTTGGCCCTTGGAAAAAGTGAACCTCCTTGCCCTGTTATTTTTCCCCACCCAAATACCTGGGTTTCCAAGAAATAATTCTCTTCTGATTTGCTCCCCAGACTGCCCCTCCATGACTACCGCACCTACCCCTCAGACTTAATCAAAGGAAAATCGACTTCACTTCCTCTGCTTCAGCTGTAGGCAAAGGGAAGAGAAAAATCACAACAGAAGGTGAAAGGAATGGGCACAGATCCTCAGTCCAGCCTCGGCAACAGGTCTCAAGACTTGGCACTTCCCTAGGCCACTGAGAAAGACAAAGAATAGGGAGCAGGGGGTGTAGCTGACCAGGCATGGGTCCCGGGATAAGACTTGGACAGCTGCTCACCACAACAGTGTGTCCCCTACATTTTGCCCTCTTTTCCCAGACTACTAACACGCTTTCCTTTTCACCCAGGCAGTTCAAAGCCTTAGTTCTCGCTTCAGCGCCGAAGTGAGAAGCCTCATTCATGCCTTAACCTTTTTTTCTCCCACTGAAGGAACCATTACCTGGTGGGGGGTGGAAGGGGGAGGTAGAATCTGAAAGAGAGGAAGGAAATGCTCCAGGGCTTTGTGCCGTTTCTGACCTGGGGTAGGGGGTGGATGACCACAGTGTGTGTGTATGTGCATGTGCATGTGTGTTTTGGGGGATGGGGGGGGCAAGGAAACAACTGTGACGTTGCTGCTTCCAGGGCACAGAGAAGGCACAACAAACTGGGTTTCAGGTACTCTGGTCCGTTAGAAAAGGCTCGCTTCAGAGGCAGAGATGCACAGAGAGCAGAGAAAGAGCGGAGCAAGGTGGGCCTTGAGCTGACTACTGTAGCCCAGGAGTGGGTAGAATTGGGGATTCTGGTCCCAGATTAGTCAGCTCAGACTCAGAACAAAGCTTGGAGCCCTGGGGGCAGCCCTGGGGGCCAGGCACGAAGCTCGCCTTTTCTGGGCCAGCAGTGACACGAGAGACCCGGAGGCCACCTTTGTCCCGAACACATTAAGCAGACCTCCCCCCCTCCCACCTCGCCCTTGTGGCCACCCCCGGATCCCAGCACTTACCCTGTCCCCACCAGCCGGGAGTCTCTCCTCCGCTGGAGGCGCCGGGGGACCGGGGGTCTCGACCCGGATCAGGCGGTGTGGGGGCGAGCCGTGGCGCGGAGGTGGCGTGGGGCCGGGGGCGGCTGGGGCTGCGGGGGTGGCGGGGCCCGACGGCCCCCCGGAGTAGGGGTCTTCGAAGTCGCGCTCACGCTGCAGTCGGTAGGCGGCCAGGATGTCGGGGGGTGGAGCGGGGGGAGAGGCTGGAGCGGGCGCAGGGGGCCGGTAGTCGGGCTCTGGGGGTGCGGGCTTGGTACCCCCGCCGCCGCCGCTCCCCCCGCGGAAACCTAGGTGCTCCCGGAGCCACTTGGCCACACCCCCGCCACCACCGCCGCCGCTCCCCCCAGGGCCGGCCCCCGCGCCCCCAGCGCCCCGGCGGGCCCCCCCTGGGCCGCCCCCCGCACCCCCCTGCGCTCCCCGCGGCCCGGGGCCCGAGCCCGCGGGAGGAGCTCCGCTCAGTAACATGGGGCCGGCCAGACTGAGCCGAGGGGGGAGAGGGGAGCGCCGAGAGGGGAGGGGGTGCTGTGGGGCGGGGAGAGAAGCCGGAGGCGGAGCTCCGCTCGGTAACACCGGGTTGGCGGGGGAGGGGGCGGGGAGAAGGGGCGGGGTGGGGCTCTGCTCAATAGCCAGGGGCCGAACTCGGCTCTTAGGAGGCGGGGCAAGGGGGGGCGCCGGCCTTGGATTAGAAAGCAGAGTGAGTGGAACCCGGCTCCTGTAATAGAACCTCTTTGCCAGAATGAGTCCGCCCTGTACTCCGAAGCTCGCGCTTCAGAGTCACAGGCTGCCCTCAACACTCCCACCACATCGTCCCCATCCCGCACTGAACATCTGGGAGATGCAGGTAGCAGAGTCCACGCAATCTCCTGGGCTCAGTGGGTCCCTTCAGCCTGACTCCACGCGCCAAATGTCGGACACACGTCCAAAGAGGGATTGGGGGAAGCGAAGCAGCGACGCTAGGTAGAATCTTTCTTTCCCCATATTTCTCTCTATAACAGTCTCATCTGCTGTTATTTACTCCATATGCCCCCCTCCACAAAACATCCCAACCCAACACAGCTCACATCCAGATTCCCGGGTGCACCCACGTCTACGCTGCTCACATCTCATTCTCAGATATACATCCTACACCTACATGGCACTCATTGACACACCACACAGACGTACAGACCAGGCACACGTAGAGACCATTCATTCACATTGCACATTGGGTGCTTATGCTACACCAGCACACGCACAAATTCCCTTTAAATATTATTCCAGTCTTCACTGTCAATCAGATCAGTGACAGACTGAAACAGACAAGTCAATAAATCAAGTCTAGAAACGGTTCTAAGGCTGTCTATCATAAAGCCCTTTATCCACCAGGGACTCTGAATACTACACACTTTAGGCTATAGGTATTTCCCGGTTATAGAAATAAAGTTCCTTCTTTAAAGCTGTTTGATTAGTATTTATCCAATGCTCCCAGTTGCTCCTTGGAACTGTGCTTCTGTCGAGAAAACAGATTCCTACAGCCTCGTTTTCAAACTAAACACCTAAATAGCCATCACTCAGCTGACCTTTCCTTTCCCCTGCCCTTTAGAAGTCAGAAGCCAAGTATTCCAGTAGTTAAGGGCTATGGAAGTGAAAGATGCTAATGAGGGAAGTGCCAGGAGAGAGGAGAAGGGTACCTGGGGAGTAAGGGACCCCGGAGGTAATTATGCAGAAGGGGAGAAGAACAGAGGAATGGTGTAATGGCGAACCTAAAAATCTTGGACTAGGATTCTCAAGGACCCTGTGACTTAGAGAAGTCGACCGACTTTCTTTTGTACACAGTTGCTAATTCCTATTTTGGTCACTTGCTTAAGCCATTCTGCTCTCTCTCTCTCTCTCTCTCTCTCTGAGGAGCTCTCTTCTTCCCCCCTCTCACTAGCCATTATTTTCTTACAACACACACAAATCAAAGCTGTCTTGAGTTGCATTAAGAAAGACCTAGCTTACCGTAAGAAGGAGGTAATAGTACCACTGTACTCTGCCTTAGTCAGACCACCTCTGAAAGTCCTGTGTTCAGTTGTGGCCACCACATTGTTGGAAGGACATGGATAAACTGGAACTGATCCAGAGGAGGACCACCAGGATAGGAAAGTCATTTAACTCCTTGCTGTCTCAGGCAGCACTCTAAGACAAGCTCCATTTCTTTTGTGGAAGGCATTTCCTCATTTGAAAATTCCCTAAACACATACAGTGCATGATATTTATATGGCCCTTTACAAAGTACATCTCTTTATCTGATTTGATCATCACCACAATCAAGTGAGGTAGGTTGTGAGAATATTTTCATTCCCATTAGACAGACCAGGAAACTGAGATTTATGGAGGATGAGTGATTTGTCAAAGCTCACACTAGTAGCAAAACCAGGACTGGGTTTGTTTTTTTAAACTGGAATTGTTATTTTATTGGCATAGGGGAAATCCTATGAAGAAACTCCTTTCAGTGAAAACAACCTCATCACTGCTATCATCTGAAATGTCTAGAGCTAGAGTTGCCTGGGGGCACTCAGAGGTCCAAGATAGCAATCATTATGATAATAGCTAACATTTGCCTGGTGCTTTAAGGTTTGCAAAACAAATGTTATCTTTCTGGGAAGTAGATGCCATTATTACCCTCATTTTACTGAGGAGAACCTGAAGCAACTTGACCACCATCAGAGTTTGTAAGTTTAAGGCTAGATTAAATTTGAACTTGGGTCTTCCTGACTTCAAAGTCCAGCACTTTCACCACTGAGCACCTAGCTGCCCCCAGTGAGCCGGGCAGGGTTACCCAGCAATTATGTGTCAGAGACAGGACTTGAACCCAGGTCTTCCAGACTGACTTCAACGCAGGGCCCCAATTTGCCTGACTCCAAATCTAGTACTTTTCCCCCACTACACCACATATTCTAGGTATGGGGGATGGATAGCCTGACCAAATGCACATCCATGGTAGAAAGTGTTAAATTTGGGAAGCAGCTAACAGACTACTTTGTCTGGAAAGTAGACATGGCCAATGTAGTGATTGATTTATTTTCCGGGATTGTATATATTTGTTACAAAGGAGGATTTCTACTCTGAGAGGGGCAGGAGGTGGTGGATTAGTGGGTGGTAGGGGCAGCTAGATGGTGAGGTAGATGGCACTGGTCTTGAAGACTCATCTTCCCAAGTTCAAATCTGGCTTCAGACACTTAGCTGTGTGACCCTAGGCAAGTCTCTTAACAATGGTTGCCTCAGTTTCCTCATCTGTAAAATGAGCTGGAGAAGGAAATGGAAAACCACTCCAGTATCTTTGCCAAGAAAACCCCAAATGGGGTCACAAAGAGTCAGACACAACTTAAACACAACTCAACAACAACAACACTATAGGTATTCAAAAAAGAGCATTAATAAAAGTATTTTTTAAAATTCAGAAAACAAAAAAGTACAGAAGGGAATAAAAAACAGAGCTGTTTTGCTATTAGCTTGTTAAATTATATATGCACATGATACAAACTAAGTTCACAGTTTCTTTTAAAAGTCTCTCATTCTTTTTTGTATGATGAAATATTTGCATTTGTTGATGATTAAATTGGGATATTGGGCATAGCCACAGTGAAAGGCCAATTTGAGTGGATTATAGCCTCAGGCAAATGCTAGAGACTTCCTCCATAAAGTGGGAAAATTCAAGGAGTTCTAGGTGGGAGTTTTCAGAACCTGTACCAGGTTCATACCACTACTAGGTCTATATCCCAAAGAGATCATAAAAAAGAGAAAAGAACTCACATGTACAAAAATAATTATAGCAACTCTTTTTGTTGTGGTAAAATATTGGAAAATGAGGTGATGCCCATCAATTGGGGAATGGCTGAACAAGGTGTGGCATATGAATGTAATGGAATACTATTGTTCCATAAGAAATGGTGAGCAGGTGGACTTCAGAAAAACCTGGAAAGACTTGCATGAACTGATGCTGAGTGAAGTAAGCAGAACCAGGAGAACACTGCAACATTGTTTGACGGCCAACTTTGTTAGACTTATCTCTTCTGAGGATTGCAGTGATCTAAGACAATTCCAAACGAATCATGATGGAAAATGCTAAGCATATTCAGAGGAAGAACTATGGAGTCTGAATACAGATTGAAGCATGTTATTTTCTCTTTCTTTTGTTGTTTTTTTGTTTTTTCTTTCTCATGGTTTTTCCCTTTTGTTCTGATTCTTCTTTCACAACATGACTAATATGGAAATATGTTTAATATGAAAAAAGAAAGTAAACTTTGTGAAAGGGGGTAGTGTGAAATTTGACTGGGAAGGCAAGAAGGAAACAGATTATGGAGGGACTGAAGTGGTAGACTAAAGAGTCTATGGGTAATGGGGAGCCGAACACAATTTTTGAGCAAGAGAGTGACCTAGTCCAATCTATGTTGCAGGAAAATTATTTTGGCAGCTATGTGCAGCTAACAGAAGAGTAGGTAGGGATTAGGGTAGAGTAACAGAAGAGACTAGAAGCAAGGGTAATGATTAAAAAACTGTTAGATGAGAAATGAACAGGACTGGAATTAGGGCAGTGACTGTATGAATGGAGGAAAAGAGACAGATGTGAGAGATATAGAAAACAAGGGACAAAACTTGTATATGAGATAAGGGTGGAAGAAGAGTTAAAGGTGATTCCTACATTTTGAATATGGATGGCTGGAAGAATGGTGGTGCTCTCAATAGAAACAGGAAGTTTCTAGAAGGAGTGAGTTTCATTCTCTACATGTCTAGTTTGTGATGCTTGCAGGACATCCAGGAGGAGATATGAAGCAGGCAATTGATATATGATTGGAGTTCAAGAGAGGGATTAGGGCTGGACATACACATTTGGGAGTCATCTATGGGACAGGCTATCAAGAATGGATGAAGATCCATTAAAAGAGACTGAGAAGAAGCAGGCAGATAGACAGGACAATTAGGAGAGAAGAGTCATGAAAGCCAAGGAAGAGGGAGTGCCTAGAAGTCAGGGTCAAATCAAGGTTGTTTTTAAAAAAAATTTTTTTTAAGGACGAAGTAGACCTGAGCATGTTTATAGGTAGTGGTCAAAGACATGTTTATAGGTAGTAGGGAGAGGCTGAAGATCAGACTGAGGGGAGAAGATGACCCATGAGATAAATTCCTGGAGGGGATGAGAGGGTGAGATACCAGTAAGGAAGTTGGAATTGTCAAGAAGAAAGGAATATCATGTAAGCCAGTTTGACTAAGACACCAAATGAATGAATGAGAATAATTAGCAATAAGTCCAGAAAGGGAGGCCAGAGCCCACATTGTGAAAGACCTTAAATGCCAAACAGAGTAGTTTGTATTTTATCCTATATGCAGTAGGGAGAGAGTGAAACTTCTCGAGCCAGGGGTTATGAAGTCTCCTATTTAGGATAAAAACACAGATGTGCTTAGAGTGTGGGTGTTCCCCTTTGGGCAAAGGCCATAGGTAAAGCTCC